TCTGGTGCAGGTCTGCATGTTGATAACATCAAGCAAGACGAACCTCTGTCACAGCGGAATCAGCTCCAAGCTATGAATCAATTAAAACCGTCCTTAAGTTTAACGAGATTTCTATCTGCCTTCCGCCATCTAATCAACACACCGACCATTAGCAGTGTGCAGAGCTACTCTAGGCCTCTCAGCTCCCATTCCTCTGACTTGTGGCCAAGTCTTTGCATGTCAATGTGGCTGGCAGCAGCCCAGGTGTCGACCCAGAGAATTTAGACGAGCTGGTCTCTTTCTTTTCTTAAATCTCCTCACCCTCTGGTCCCTTTGCAGGCCGGTCATTGCAGCAACTGTCAGCAACTGACACCAAACTACAGTGTTTCTTTGAATTACTGTAGACAGCATTCAAAACTAATTAAGACAAAAAGGAATATAAGGGAAACATGACCAACAAGGTCATGCTCAGCCATCTTGTGTCTTCTCCGCTGTCTCTCTTTGGTGTTGGTCTTTGTGGCTCTACACCACCATTCTGCCTTTGTTTCTCCCTCTCACACCCCCTCAGAGTTGAAACCAATCAGATTAAAAAGTCTGAGAGACAGGCAGCCTGTGGCTGATGGTGAGACAAGACTGCTTGTCTTGTTGATGTTGTGGCTCTGGCTCCAAGACAACACAATTTATGTCCCAATCCCTATCCTGTCACATCTCCTGACTGTCCAGCACATCACGGAGATGATGATAAAGAAAAGGTCTAAATGCTGACTGGGTAGCTAACCTTGGCAGTGACTCTGGGGACCAGGGCCAAGGCAGGCTCTTAGGAGGAGGAGAGTCAGACACACAAAGAAATACAGCTGTAAGCCCTTGACTCATCCCCTGGGCCAAATAACAACCTACTGCTTTCAGAGGCCATCCCTGAATTCATCAGGCAACACAGGTTTGCTAAAGTGGAGCGGATTAAGCCTAAGCAGAGGTATACAGCGGGGAAAAAACAGTGTGAATGAGTAATGTGCTGGAAACAAAATGTGTTTCAAAGACTTATTTAAAGCCAAGCTTCTTGTTTGTGTGGGATTAGTGATTTCTTATTTGTGTGTGAGGTAAACAAGTGACTTTCATATAACATTCTGGCTAAGCAATGAGCAGTATTGTAGCTGCTGACAGACTCAAAAATCACTCAACACTTGGGGTTGGGGTATACAGTGCAGACTTTTAAAACTGCGTTCATCCCGTTTTTTGGCTTCTTTGCTAAAAAAAAAATGCCTGTTTACAAATCAAGCAGAGATGGATCAACATTATCATTCATTTGCAGTTTTGTTTAAGTCCACCTAGTGAATAAAGGTCCACTATTCACTCTTTTTAACTGTGTTTCAGCCCATAAGAAAAATATCTGGCTCTTTATCTGATAGATTTTCCACTTTCTTCACTATTTAGTCGCCAACTTTTATTTGTCTGCTATTACAGTGGGGATATCAGACCTTTTTCGATAAAAAACAGCTGCCTGGATCAATGCCGAGATCGAATCATATAGCATGCCATAAAACCAAAACTGAGCTAAAAAAGGCGAAAAAGGTTTGTGTGAGTTGGGTGATAACTCTCTTTTGGTTTGTCACCACAAGCCCTTACATTACACAGAGTCATTTGATTGGAGATTAATATAAAAATACTGACAGGTGGAGCTCTGAAGTTGGATACTCTGGGAGCAGGTGAGGACACTGGATCAGATGTGATTGCTGTCACAACTGGATTCATCCAGAGTTGAACAGACAGCAGCTAATTCAGAGGTGACATTTCATCTGTCAAATGTATCAGAAGCTTAAATTCAGTGGGATGTTTTCAGACTTGGATGGTAGCCTATAATGTGGCTATAAAAAAAACAATAAAAATGTTATATTGTGTTAAGATGATGATAATAGTAACTATAATGAATAAACAGTGGCAATCCTCAACTCTGGACGGCCCCAGGCAAAGACACCCACTGAAAACACACATAAACGTGAAGACTAGTGGCAGACTGGTCCCAATATGAGGGGACATCAGGGGACCCTTTTCCCCTTCCCCATTTTGCCCCTCCCAACAGAGCGCCTCTGTGAATAAAATTATTGTTGAAATGAAATGACATTTATCTGTTTATTCAAAGTGTTGTGGTTTGTTGTCTGTGGTCAGTTATTGCTTAAATCCAGTATTTAGGCTGTTCTAACGAGTAAGTGCTTTTAGAATCAATCAACAGCTCAATAATCTGTCCACAACTCCAAAGAGTGAAAAAGGGGTTGTATAACATGATGGAAATTGAATAGCTTTAAACTTCTTTTACACTATAGATAATGATTTCTTTCATTTACATCACATACCCTGCATGTTCGAACACATCACTGAAGGCACACGATGCTCAGATTGACTGAAATATTCAAACCTAAGCTGCTATGGCATCAGGCAGAAATATCATATACGTATGTCATCTGATATCTGAAACAGAATATAAAAAACACTTGTGTAGGTCTGTATAAGACCAGACAGGTTTGGCTGCACAACAGAAGTTTGTAATGACAAACTATTTAGAAGGTCTGGCAGAGTTTAAAAGGTTAAAATGATTATGGTTCTAAAAGCCTTTAATAACATTTAGTCTAAACCTAGAGGGCATAAAAATAACTGAAGCATTAAGGACCACCAGGGGGTTATTTTATATAAGCAAGGCTTCTCTTCTGTTGGCTGGGTGCTAATAACAGCACTAGGCCAAGTGGCAGTCATAGCAGTGTAACTAGTAGTCATAGATATAGACATACCATAGTCATTATGGACGGCTTAATGGTCTAAAACAGCTGCAGAACAATCATGAAAACAGGATTTGCTGACAGTAACAGTAGGAATAAAGATAATAAAGGAATACTATATTACAGAGAGATGTAGGCATCACACATGAGGAGAATATCTTTCAACCATCTTTTGGATTCACTTCTTCTTAGTCTCAGCTGGTTACATACAAAATGTAAGGAACTTAAGCAAACTCTCTAATCATTCACTTACATTAACAGGAATCAATAGCCTCTGCTCCACAGATCAGGGATGACTTTAAATGTGAAGAAAATTGATTGGAAAAATATGAATGGTTAATTCCATCATTAGTATTCTATCCAACGCAGTTTGAGATCATGTTCAATATGAGGTGCAGGGACGTTCTGCTGCAGTCTCCTGAAAGAATTTAGTCTGAGGAGCGGATTTACAGAAACTATGAAGACAAAACTAGGATAATGACCGCTTTCATTTCCATTACATTACATTTACTCATTTGGCAGATGCTTTTATCCAAAGCAATTTACAAGTGAGGGACACACAACACTAAAGCTTTGCTTCATCACAAAAGTCCACAAAAAAGCTATGTATGAACACATTGGGGTTTTGAGTTTCCCTCACAGATGTATTAACGGGACGGACTAAGCTCCAAATTGTTTTACACCACAAAATAAAACAGCATATTACAATAAAACCATGAAAATGCATTCATCGGGCCAACTCAGGGCAAAGGAGAGGCACAGTTATCCAGAGGATAGGGGATGACAAAATATCAGGACCTTGACCTTGTAACACCTGAAATTTTTGCTGAAAAAAATCAGTAAAAAATCAGGTATAGCATGTTCTCATCTCTTGGCATTAGGTGAAAGCCTGTATGGGGAGTAGTTTGGATTTACTGAGGGTCAGGGGATTGCCTTATAGCTGAACCCTGCATAAAGTGAATTACAAAAGTCCACACGAGAAGAGATAAAAGCATGGATGACTTTTTCAAGATCAGAGAAGGTTAGACAGAACTTAATTCAAGCTATAATCCATGGTTGTCAGAGGGAACAAGCCACTGACCTTTCAACTACAGACAACAACTAGACTAGCACTTTGGTGATTATTTCTCATTGTCTAGGCAGTTTTGTGTCCTATCTTTTAACTGATCAATAAGTCTTCTCTCAAAGTGTAAGCCATGGTTGCCTGGGTAGATAGAAATCACCGTGCTGAACCTTATAGTACAAATCTCACTAAGATTAAAATCTGTTCAAAAGATTGCCACAACAGTAAATACAATATGGTATATGGACATACACTATAAAAGAGAAATAATAAATGAACAGGTATGAATTTTCAAAAAAAAAAAAAAAAAAAAAAAAAATATATAAAAAAAAAAAAAATGAAATTAAGTAAAAGCAATAAATAAGGGAGAGTATGGTTTCTTCACCAGATCCTTTACAACTGACTATGAATCTCTGTGACATGAGTGTGGATAAATAGGTGTGAATGAGTACACGGTAAAACCTGTCCCGGAAAGAGAAGAAACTGATAAGATGAATTTCCAGCACAATGCACAGCTCACAGGACTCATAAAACCAAGGACCTTCAAAGGCTTCCTCTTAAATCAATTTTCACTGTACACAAATCAGACATGCTCTTTTATCACCTCATTTGCTAATAGGCTTTCTTTACACTCGCGGCATTGACAATAGTTCAAAGAGCTAAAGTAGTCCCAGTCTTTATTCTTACTTTATAGCGCCAGGGCTGTAGGGCCAACCTCCACCTCTCTTTCCACACTTTCACACAAACACATACTGCTCTATGGTTACCAGCTGCTCTCAAGGTGTTTAGTTACCTGCATGTTTTCCTAGAAGTAGTAGAGTCAGTGCACAGTTTGCACAACAGCGCTGCTGCAACACGTTGCCCACTCATATAAGAAATAGCCATAGCTGATTCCAGTCAATAAAATTATTCTCCCTGAACCAATCGGGTCTTGTTAGCTCCATGAGGTCAGTCTTAGACACCGAGGCCAAACACATAATTAATATGAGTCGGGATCTTATTATACACACGAGATGTGGGTTATGAGTACAAGGCCAGTGCAAATAGTCCCCATGACTCTGACATTCGTGCCAGTTCACTGAATTGCTGCTGGCTGCTAGATTTATAGCCTCTGTTAAAGGGATGAACGTGCAGGTTGTAATAGCTGTGCAAGTGCAGGTTTGGTGTAGAGAGAAAAAAGGCAAACTTACCTTCACTGCTTCAGCATGAGTGACTTTGTCGAAGACTTTGTCGTTGACTTTCATGATCTGGTCACCGATCCGGAGTCCCTCTTTCTCTGCCAGGCTCCCCGGTTCCACCAGGGACACGTAGATGCCGACCCCGTGCTCCGACCCGCCGCGGATGCTGAAGCCCAGGCCCTCGTTGCTCTTGTGCCGCTTCATGGTCACCTGCCGCAGTTCTCCCGGCGGCTCGTGGATAAAGTTCCTCCCGAGCAGCGGCACCAGGGGAGCTGTCCCGTCGCTGCTGGTGCTGAAGCTGTCCGGCGAGCCACGCAACGCCACCTGAAACTCAGGCGGGTTGCTCGGCGAGAAATGCCCCGGGGGAGTCGGGCTGGCGCTGGGGAAGTCGCCCGGTGGAGTTTCAGCGTTGCCATTGCTTGCAACTAAATCCGATTTCAAGTAGAGGCCCTCCGAGGTGTACTGCTCGAAGAGAAGCTGGTCAGAGCGGGGGATGACCAGCCGCAGCATGGGCAGAAGTTGCCGCTTGCTGGGTGCGTTGAGGATGACGTTAAGGGTCTGCACCAGGTCGTACACGTTGCGTTTGGAGTGGTAGACGTTGAGACAGTGGATGAACTGCTCCCTCTCGAAGTCGTTGAGTAGGAGGTTGAGCGCGTTGTGCAGCTTTCTCACGTTGGCCGACAGCGTCCGCGCGCTGGAGGCCACCGAGTTGGCCGAGGAGCTGAGCGACATGCGCTCCAGGTCGGTGCTGCTCATCCTAGCTGTGTGACCGGGACAAGGCGCCACACTGGTGCGGGTTAGAGAGCAGGCATTACGGGCTGGCGGCGCGGGTTCAGACCGGCGCTTGGCATCACTACCGCTGGAGGACGTGCACTCCGGTTATATCCATGCTGTCTGGCTCTGACAGATGCTCCACTTATTACTCGCAATTTGCTGGATAGAGCTCAAAAAGCGGTAACTTCAACGGGCAATTAAGTCCAACTAATTCAATTTCACAGTTGACACAAATTAATTAGCACTTACCATAATTAAGATAGCCTATGAGTAGCCTAATTGGATTCTGCAAACTTCATGTGTGAAACGTTGCGTCAAAACTGGACATGCAACAGCCTCGCGGAAAAGTCGTCCTACTCCGTCAGAGAGCTTATGAGCCACGTCAGGATCTCAGCCTCCGTGTCATTAGCTGCGGTCTTATTTTCCAGGAGGTCAGGTGGCTGCCGAGCCGCTGCTTCTCTGGTGTCCGCCTCACCGTCAACAGTTCCGCTACAGGGCGGAATAAACAACCCCAGGACTGAAAACTACTTGTAGGCTACTTGGTCCAGTGATGCTCAGCCAATTCAACAAGCAAAACCAACTATTTCCTCGACGAAGAAAGAGAAAAAGAAAAAAGTTATTTTTATGCTCCTGCTCAGCGTCCCGAGGAGTTCACAATATCCCGCTCCGCTCACGGTTTTAGTTCCAAACGACGTCAAGTTCACAAAAATATAAATATCCAGCAGTTTAACAGGACCCAAACGACATTTGCTCGCTGCCTGTGTTTTGTATTATCCGTCCGGTAGCGGTGTGGAGGTGACCTGCTGCTCGGCGTCTCCGCTTCTCAGACGTTACTACAACGACTGAGCGAAGACTGGCGGCTCCTTCGCCTCAGACCGTCCTCTGTCAGGAAATGACGCAGCCGCGTGCATCCACTGCGTTGCTTAAGACCAACAACATGCGCTCGTGGCAATGGCACAACCTGGAGCAAACAGGACTTTAATTCGACGATATAGTGGTCGGGTTGTTTTACGTTTTCCATCTCTGTAGGCTGTTAGACTATATCCCATAGGTATCCTACTGCATGTCCTGTGAAAGCAAAGAATTGCGGTTTCAAATGATTTGTTTTTATTGCTTGCACTATTTCAACATATAATTGAGCGACTAGCTTGTCTTAGACAGAACTCAACATTTAAAGTTTGTTTGTTGTATTTTTCACTAATTACTTGACACAGTAGAAACTGGTGTTAATGACACTATTAACAGCCAACATGTACAATGGCAGTAGAGCACCCAACACTGAAGCAGCTAAATTTGACTCAGCCATCATTAGTCTCATTATTTACACCTGTGCTTTTTCCAACAAACGACAACTCGTTAACAGTTTTAAAATTTACTTTGTAGGCTATGAATGAGCAGAACTTCTATCAAATACACATTCATTGAGAGGAATACAATAAATTAAGCAAAAAAAAAAATTATACTAATATGTATTACATTTATTTGACTTTCATTATTACTATTCATTTTGTCAGCTACAGAAAAATGACAAAACTATGCATGATCACAACCTGCAGTGCATCAAATAAAACAGATCATTGTCTTTGGAGCAAATTTCAAAGGTCAACTATTTGTGTTCATTAAGAAGGCAGATACATTTGTCATAATAATATTTTAAGGCACTTCTGTTTAACAGTCAAACAGATTTAAAGTAAAAAGAAAAAAAACACTTTCTCAATTAGATGTAATCCTTTACAAGGCATCTGACTTTAGATCAGAGGTTGTGTTGGTGGCTAATTACCAGTTGACCACAGAGTGGCACCACTGAGTGCTATGATGTTATATTCCAAAATAACTTTATCATAATAATGGTGAATGAGAACATCCTCAGGCACCAGAACAACTTTTTAAATTATCCATGGGCTTCAAATTCATCTGATGCTAAAAGAAAATCTCATTTTAATGTTTATGTGGAATAAAAAGCAAACAACTGTCCTTGATTTACTTTTTTGTGTTAAACTATTGTGTTGATGTTTTTCTTAAACCCCACAATCTAAAAATGCATTATTACACTATCATACCATGTCAGTTTAGTACATTTGTCCCTAATATTTCTTTTCTCTTATTCAAACGTAGGTTTTTACCAGCAGGCCTCCTGCTGCAATCCCTGAGCCATGAGTCCTCGAGCTGTAGCCAAAAGGAGCAAAGTGGGGTTGAACTCGGTTGACCGAGTGATCATTCGCAGGTGTAGAATGGTGACGATGTCAGCTGCAAATGAAGCCCTGCACTCTGAGGCTGCTGTGTTGACAAATGGCACTGTGTGGTTTTGGCAGAGTTTCAGAGCTGAGCTTTCCTTAAAATCTGCAGCCGCTTGGAGCCAAATATTCCCTCAGCTTTAACTGAAGCGTTTGAGAGGCTGACCAGGGCAAACTGAGGACAACCTGCTCTCAGAAAAGAAAGCAGTGCTATTTTCATTTAAAATTGTGACCAAGTGTGTGCTGTGTGATAAAATTACTGATGTCAAAGTAATTAGTGTGGCTGAAAACAGACCAGTGGACTTTGAAAATGAAAACAAACTTGGAAAATGAAAATTGTCTTTGGAAATGAATCAATGAGATGGAGAATGCACAAAAAACACACAGAGGAGCAAATGAGGTTAAAGCCGAGCTGGCTGAATTCACAGATGAAGTCAGCACTGTGCCTGCTGAAAGTGACACAGCAGAACTGTCAGCAGAGCGGCTGAGATAAAAGCATGAGCATCTGATAGCTCATGCATGGTTTCAGAGGAGAAGGTTTATCAGTTAATGGTTCTTTTATTTTCAATTACCCTCTTCTAAACAAGCATCCCAAGCTGGCTTGTCCATGACAGTAATGGTTCATTTCCGTTTATGAATGAATTGGTGTAATGATCAGGGCTACAACTACCAACTATTATCATTATTGATTAATCTGTTTTTTTTTCAGATTAATGGAGCCATCATTTAGTCAGTAAACTGTCATAAAAAGTAGAAAAATGCTCATCACAGATTAACAGAGTCCAAGGTGACGTCTTCAAATTGCTTGTTTTGTCCAAATAAATTCAATTCAAATCCCAAAGAAATTCAATTCAAATCCCAAAGAAATTCAATTTACAATGATAGAAAACAGAGAAGAGAAGCAAATCCTCATGAGAAGCTGGAACCTCCTTAGTCAGAGTTAAAAGTCCCATAGTGTATAAAAGTAGATTTCCATTACTTTTTTGACCATTAAGCAGGACTAGGTTCTATATTAATACTGTGCAAGTATCAAAGCCTCAGTCCACAGAGAAATGCACAAAGCCTGTATTCAGAAACTGAGCCTTAAAAACAGCCATCAGGACTTCTGTAACTTTGTGATGTCACAACAAAGCAGTCACCCCTGTCAGCTACGCCCCAAGCCCCACCCACCTGGATCCACCATCCAGCCTTTCAGGATTTGATATCTCTGAGTGTTTACCTGAAATCTGCTATATTTTTATTCGATCACTCAGAAAACAGTCAGCCAATCAGAAGGGAGGTTCAGAGCCTCTTCTGATTGGCTCACCGACCTGTTGTTACTAGAGAGAAGCCTGAGAGGGGAGATGTAAAACTACACTGATATGGATTTTGGTTCTTAAAACCACAAATATATGTTCTCATGGATATCAAAACAGAATGACAATGCCTCCATGCATAAAGCTGAGTTCATAATGGTTTCCCAGGTTAACAGTGAACAGCTTGACCGACCTGCACAGTGCCCTGACCTCAACCCCACCCAACACCTCTAACCCCTTCAGAGAAGAGCAGTTGCTGTTGGAGCTATTTTTTATAAACACGGTAAACTCCTTGTCTAATACCACAAAACAGAACAAATCTTAACAAGCTCTGTGTGTATGACAGGAGCTGGCTGGAAGCCTGCGGGGTCAGCTAGGCTTAAATTACCAGCACAGCTGAAAAGTGTCTCTGGCCAATAATCCTGTCAAGCTGAAGTGACACGCTGCAGTCTATGACAAGTGAAATGTTTTGAATTATAATTTACAGGGTGACAAACAATAACAAGGTAAATATGAATCTGGTTTTCACAGTGCAATTATACTGACAGTGAACTCTTGGAAAGCAATCATTTCAGGGTACAAGACAAATATCCCATCAGCTGGTCTGTTCAGTTTTGGTCTTATTTATTTCTAATGATTCTTTTTAAGACTGCTGTTAATGGCACAATAGAGAGGCGCATCATCAATATAGGAAAACCATGCAAATGCTTGGGGCCCCCAAGGGGAAATGGGTGCCTTTAATGGGTGCCCAGAGTCTAGGATCGCCATTGACTACACAAATGGAGTTTAGAGAGGTCAACAAATTGCAACATACTTGTATTTACTGTTCATAGACAACATCTAATTTTAAGAAGATAGTGCTGATGATTATCTGCTCTATACAGCCTTGTGTACATGGAAAGGTGGAGATGCAATAGATGAATGAAAGAAGAGCGTGTCAGATATCTGATGAGCAGTACAGAGATAACACTGTGGGATTGTGCTCTGCTCTGCTACCGGTGAATGAAACAAGGTGAAACTGCAAACATTTGACAGCATCTTTTCGTCTGTGTGGCTGAGCAGGAGGTCAAACAGATACTGTGTACAAGCGTGTGCACATGTGTCTATTTGAGTGTGTGTTTTGAAGTTGATTGATCGCAGTAATTAGTGGAGTTCACCAGTGGGAAACACTGAAAAGCCAAACAGCATTATACTGGACACACACTGCAAAACAAGCAGAGCAGCGGAGAAGAGACAGATAAAGAAAATTCAGCGTGTGAGACAGAAAGTGAACGACAGAGAGAGCAGGAGAAAGAGAGGGGATGAACATGCAGAGTTCTTCAAGAACACCCACTGAGCTAATGATTTTGGTTATTATCACAGTTTTCAATTTTAACTGCAGAAGCTCTTAGCTGAATGCCCTGCAAAGCATTCCCAGGGACGTAGAAAGACGGATTTTCTCATAGTGGCAGAA